CTCTTGTTGCTGTCTCTCTACTCTGTATCCCATTGGGTATGTGACCCAGAATCCGTTTCATTAAACCTTGAACAGAATTCAGCTGCACCTTTCCAAAACAATCCATCAACCCTTCAGCTGAGGTCAGCCTGAAGGTTGCTGCTCTGGCTGTGGAAATGACTGTCACTTCTAACAGGGACTGTCACACTCACCCCGAGAGTACAGCRCGCTGTCCCAGGCAATCCACTGACATCGCAGTCGCCTATTAAAGAGAAACACAGAACAAAACTAAATTATACCTGTCAGGTCAGCTGCTCAAACACATGGCTTTAGGGAGGAGCTCCAGAAAGTAGCATCCCCTTAAAGTAGCACAGATGGGCAATGGGGTGTAGAGGTTGATTTCGGGATGCATGACAGCACGCAGAAAATATCTTTGTTAGTGTAAACTGAAGACAAGACCTGGCAGACATTACGAGCACTAAGACCTTGCTCCCTTCTCCCCACTATGGCAATCACAGCTGCAGCCTTTCAATCAGCAGTCACTAATAATGTATATTAATCAGCCTCTGCTCCTGCTCAGGAACTTTCTCAGTCTCTTTCATTGCAGGGCCAGACTTAATTATATATGWACTGGGAGATAGAAGTGCAACCATTTGAGTATGGCTGGTCTCCAAAAATGAGAGATGGCCAAGAGGCATCAGAATTTACTTTGGCATTGCTTGTAAAGAAGGCTATGAGATAACTTAAAGGCCATTGAAAAAAAAAATATTAAAAAAGGACTGTTTGGATATTGTTTYCCCCTCTTTTTGTGCAGAATGAACTGGCTGTTCATCTCATTTAAATGCCAAGAGAAGAAAGGAAAATTTTACTTGGAAAGCTGAACAGTTCAGCCTATAAACATAGRTATGACTTCAATAGAGTTTTGAGCATTCACAGTACAAAATCAGAATMTGCCCCACATTCTGCACACTAACTGCTGTCATCTTCAAAGCCGCCTCTCTGAAGGCTCAGGATTTATTGCCTGCTGCTGTTCAGGATCTTAGGTGCTCTCAGTGTGGATGTAACAAGACTTCAGGATGTCCCACAGTGACTATTTACAAGCATCACTAAAACCTGACACACAATGCAGAAATCCCACTCCATTTCAGTCAGATTTGATGGTAAAATAACCATAACAAATTCTGAGCTTTTTCAGCCAGGGCCCATCCCCTCCCTGCAAATACCCCAAGTGAAGATAAAACATCATCACAGAACTACATGGCAAAGAGCTACAGTTGCCTGMAGAGTTTCAGCAGCAGCTCATGATAAACCAAGCCCTGTTTAACTACCTGGTTTTTACCACCTGTTTTATTACCACCACTTTTACCCCGTTTTACCACCAGTTAACTGTTTCAGTTGACCGTCATCTCTTTTTTTTCCTAAGCAGCAAATCCAATCTCCTGGCAAGGTTTCCCTAGTCCTAAAACTAATGCTGTAAATAAGCAGCTGGTTTTAAGATCTCTAAATGACAAAGAAACAATTCCAGCTTTCTAGATTTCACAGCACCTTGCAAAACAACAAAGTAGGTTACTGAGTCTATTAAAAAAAGAAACTAAACCACAAAACAAAACAACAGAAGAAGGAAATCTTCCCAGATGTGACACATTTTTCTTCTGAGAAATTGAGGATCACTAAAGCTATTACAGTAACCAGAGCTTTCTCATGTGATGAAGAGCTAGTCAGGAGATATATTTCATATAGCTGGGGCCATCTTTCCTCAAAAGAGAAAAAAAAGCCATGTCAATTTCAAGTGATTGATAATTTCACATACCAGTTTATTTTTCCTGGTGTTGGCACCAGGATCTCATAAATCCTTACAAATTGTTTTCAGTAATGAACACTGGTAAACTGTATTTTTCCAGGCACCAAACATCATAAAATGTAATGAACAATTAGAATGAAATAAAAAGTTTCACATGTCAGGTTGCTACTCCAATGGGTCACAAATTGTTTTACAGCAACAAACAGTTCCCTAGAGTCTTATCTAGGCACAGGAAAATAAAAATAAACAGCTGCCATTTAATGTGCTTGGTATAGTGATACATCAGCCTTCACAGCACAACCTTCCAGRAGGGGGGAAGTGAAACTGAACAAACCAACCTGAAAGTAGTTTTTATCCTAAAACAACGCTGAGGATAACTAGAACTGCTGTTCATGAATAACAATACATGAGTAAGCACAGCAGGAGCACTGCACATCTGAGAACCTGCTCTGAGCAGCATCTTCTCAGACTTCAAGCACTTACTTTGGCATTTCACTTGATTTCTGTTAGGCAAGCCAAGGAAAGCTCCTTTTCATGTCTGAACTTGCATCAGTTTTCAATCTAACTTCACTCTCTYCACCTGAGAGGCAAGAGACCAACCCAATTTGACACAGCTATGCTGTTTTTCAACAGCTGCAAACTCTTAGCAAGCAATACCAGTTACCTGCATACTTAACCTCTCATCCACACACTGAGCTGCCACAAATAGTTGTATTTCACCACTGGGKAGTGAGTTTTACTCTCCTTTTGATAGTGCCAACAGCCCAAGAAGAACCTGTGTGTCTCRTCTAAATCAGAAAAGCACAGAGGCTGTCACCTCTGTCAGCTCGTAYAGAAAAATGACACTTGTAGGCAACAATGGCCCCAAAATACACAGTGATTTCCTAAAGTGTTACAGGTTGGGTGCTGTAGCATTCACATGACATGATCCAGCACGGTGAACAAAGACAACTGCAATGCTTGCAGAGGTGTACTGGCTATAAATGAAACAGCTGCCCACTCTTTTGACTCGTTTCCATTTAAGTTGTTTTTGGGGTAGGGATTTCGGAGATAATGTGGCCTACACGCAGAGCTCAAGCCTGGTACTRGATTATTTCAGCCAAGGTGCTCCAATTTCTCAAGCTCGAGTTTCCCACCTGCAAAAATGTTCCTGCAGACTCCTAAAAAAAGCTCAGACACCCAATATATAAATGAGTTTAGCCTGGAGCAGCAGTTTGGCAGTCCCAGCCACAGCAGTTCTCTGGTTTCACACAGGAGAGCRGGCAGGTCAGAACAGCCCGAGAAAGATCACACCAGAGTAAAGCAAAGCGACTGAACCTCCCGTGTTCACCCTCTGCCAAGGTTTGTGCCAGTGCAGGAAAGACAACTGAAACCAACTGCTGCAGCAGGGGATGGCAACACCTGTCCCTTCTGCTCCCACACACCAGTCATTATGAGTAAGCAGTAAAGTCATGAGGCCTCCTACCTCCTGAGCCAGATGCAACTTGAATCTGTGATGTAGGAAGATGTACCCTCGTATCTCATTACCTCTTTCCTGAGGGCAAACCCTCAGTAGCAGACAAGGCTGCTTTAACACTTCTGGGGGGAAAATAAAACTGATACMAAGCTTTTGAGGTATAAAAACAAAAAGCTTTGTGAGCTTACAGAGGGTAGGSTGGATGCAGCACACAGGATTCAATACCTCTGTTTGTCATGGTGAAGGCAGAGCTGCCACTGTCCCAGCATTAAGAGGACACACGAGATGAGTGAGGTTCCAGATCTATTGGGTTTTAATCTTTCTGGGTTTTCTGCGAAGTAGYTCATAGTTCACCCACTGTATCTAGCTTTGTTAAGCAACTGCCAACACCTTAAAAAAAACCCCACTTTTCTTAGAACAGAATCACAGAAWCCTGGAGTGGTTTGGCTTGGAAGGGACCTTAAAGATCATCTCATTCCAAACTCCTGCCATGGGCAGGGACACCTTCTTCTAGGCTACTTGCTCCAAGCCCCATCCAACCTGGCCAAGAACACTACAAGTGTGAACAACTTCTAAGAGAGCATGTAAGCAAACTCAGAGAGTTCTGACACCATCAGCCTCAAAAACAAAAGTTGACCTTTTCATTATTTATTAAAAAATAGAACCCTCTTTTCTTCTTAGTGGAGCAACATTCAACAATTTATATGGCAGTGAGACAGTAGCTGTAACATCCTGGGGAAAACTCATAGAGCCATAGAATGGTTTGGGTCGGAAGAGACCTTAAAGCTCATCTCACTCGAATCCCCTGTCGTACACAGAGTGCCCATACACAGGGACATTTTTCACTAGACCAGGTTGCTCAGGGCCCCCTCCATGCTGGCCTTGAGCACCTCCAGTAAAAACAATATGAGGAAAGACGTGTGGGAAGTGGCATTATCTTATRTTGGGCCTGAAAGTATATTTAAAAAAAAACAACACGCAAGACCTAATTAAAATTAGAAATTAAGTGCCCCGTGAATTAAGACGTCATCTCCGCGCAAACGACTCCAAACCGCCTCAGCCCCGTCCATCGCCGGAGAAAGGCCCAGCGGGGCCGCCRAGCCCTCCTGGACCGGGACTGCCCCCCGCTCCGCTCGTGGCGGGCCGGCCGAGGGCTGCCCCCGCGGCGCAGTGATGTGACAGCCCCCGAGCCCCCCGACCTGGGCGTCGCGGAACTCCACCACCACATTCTCGCTGCTCCAGCGCGCCGCCATCTTGGGCCGCCCCGGCGGAGACCGGGCCGCGCCTGCGCACTGCGGGGCGCCGAGCGGGGCCTGCCGGGAGATGTAGTCCCGCCGCTCACCATCCCCCCTCCCGCGCCCCCGTCCCGGTGAACTGGGGCAGCGCGTCCTGTGGAGCCGTGGGGATCCCGCGGCCCGAGGAGGGTCCCTGTGTGGGTCCGGCCTCCCCGGAGGGGTTCTGGCCGCGGCGGCCTGCGAGTGGTCGCAGCTCCGCTACAGAACAAGATGTGTGCGTGGCCTGGGTCGAGGGTTGTGTTCCGCGGGACAGCGYCCGCCCGTCGGTGCAGCGGCGGCTCCGCGTCCCGCGGCGGCGGCGAGCGCAGTGCCGGGTGGCGGCGGCGCAGGGGTTAAGGGCGGCGGGCCGGGGGGGCCGGGGGCGGGAGCATGCGTGCTGCCGGCCGCTATTGTCTCCGGCGCGGCGCCCAGCACCAGGCGGCGGCCGCAGCGAGGCCGTGCCCGGCGCAGCGCAGCGGAGCGGGGCGCGCCGCCCCCGCCGCCCTCGCCGCCCATGGGCCGCAGCTGATCCGCGCCCGGCTCCTGGCCGCGCCCCGGGCACCAGCGAGGCGGGCGGAGCGACCCTGCCGGCGTCCACCCCCCGCCTCCCCCGCCGCTCCCTCCCCGCTCCGCGGCCCCGGAGCCCTCGGCGGCCTCCGCCGGGGGTGACGGCGGCGGCGGCGGCGGACTCGGGGCGTCCTCGCCCCTGCGGGCCCGGCGGGGGGAGGATGCCTGGGGCGGGGATGGGTTTTCGCCCGTAGCTCCCCGCGCCCCCCCGCTTCCTTCCGCCCCCTCTCGCCTCCCAGCGGGGGCGGCGCGGCCCCGATCCCCGCGGGGGGCTGTCGCTCGGCTCCCTCCGGCCCGGCGGCGCCCACATGGGGGGCAAGCAGAGCACGGCGACCCGTTCGCGGGGCCCCTTCCCAGGGGTGTCGACGGATGACAGCGCCGTGCCGCCGCCGGGAGGAGGGGGGGGGCCGCCCCCCTTCGGCCATTACCGGGCGGGCGGCGGCGGCGGCGCGATGGGGCTGCGCAGCCGCTCCGTCAGCTCGGTGGCCGGGATGGGCATGGACCCGGCGGCGGCCGGCGCCGTCCCCTTCGGGCTGTACGCGGCGGCGGCACGGGCGGCGGGGGAGGCCGAGCGGGCCCCGGGCGGCGGCGGCGGCGGTCCGGGCTCCGACTCCACGTACGCCCATGGCAACGGTTTCCAGGAGACGGGAGGCGGTCACCATAGAGACGGGATGCTGTACCTGGGCGCCAGGGCCTCGCTGGCCGACGCGCTGCCCCTTCACATCGCACCGCGGTGGTTCAGCTCGCACAGCGGTGAGTGCCGGCTCCCCGGAGCCTTCCCCCGGCTTCCCCTCCCTCCGTGGGTGCCCGGGGGCGGCAGTGGGCGCGGTTCACCCGGGAAGAGGGAGYTGCCCCCCTCGTGGACCCTCATCCCTATTCCTTCCCCGGCACAGATGGGTGAGTCCATGCTGGAGCTGGCATCTGTGTCAAGGTCAAGCGAGGAAGGGGTTGTGAAAGGAGAAGGCTTTCTAGAAGGGAGGTGTTTTGGTTCTGGAATGTGAAGCAGTGGATGTGGCACCCCTACCCCTTGACTTAGGGGATAGTGGTCTTGAGGTCTTGGACTTGCTGTAGCTCAAGACCTTGATTTTGGGAGAACAACCAGGCTGAGCTCCTTGTGTCTCTTCTGAAGGTGTTTGGGGTTACCAGTCAGGTATAGCAGTTCCTGGCCTTGKAAACTGGGAAAGAGGCAGAGGAAGCCTTTGAAAGCAAGGTGTGGGGATTTTTCCTCTTTGTTTTGTCTGATAAAGGTCCAGGGAGAGGCCAAAGCGGGTTTTCCCATTCAAGCCAGCTGGCACTGTTGTGGTGCTGAGGAGGAAGCAGAGGAGGAACTGCCTGCCTTTTTGATAGGACTGGGGAGCTAGCTGGGCTCTCTTGCAGGAAACATGTCAGGCTATGGGAAGGGGCAAGATTCACCCCCTTYACCCTCCTGGCTGGACTTTTCCATATGTCCTGGTGTCTGGAGAGAAGCTCTGTCTGTGAGCAGGGCTGTGTCACTGACCTAGTTTTGGCTGGGTACAGGGAGCGAGGTGGGAGGTCCTCCCTTTCCCTCCTGGCTGGAGGGGAAGTTAATTTCAGGGATGTCTCCTTGTGTTTCCTGGAATAGTCTGGGATTTCTCTCCCACCCGTCCCCCTTGCAAATGCTGTGTTCTCCTTGTGTGACGTGGTCTGGGAATTTCATAACATGCCATTGGACAATGCCTCATTTTCAGGAAGGCCTGAAACTGAACCCGAGGATAAGAACAAAGTGCAAGAAGAATCTCGTGGGACCCATTTTCTTACTTCTTGAAAAAACAAAAAAATCTTGGGATTTTTTCCCTTTGCCCAGTCTCCAGGGGCTGCTCTTCTCCGTTAGATTGAAGCTGTATATCTTGCATTGCATCTCAGTGCAGAGTGCCCCAGGTCTGATTCCTATTGATCCGGATAAGCCAGGCGCTTGCCATCCTCTCTGGCAGATGGAGAGGGCTGGCATGTGGCACCGGAGTTGAGACCAAGCGCTCCTGCAAACTTCCTTGCTCTGTGACCTTGCACAGACTGTGCTGCTCCTCTGGTTTCTAAATGCAGAGAGAAATCTAGGTATTCCGAGAGCCTCTGTGGGAATGAGGACCATGGGGGCTTCTGCTGCACCTGGTGCTGGAGCGAGCAGGGTCTTGTTGCAGCTCACAATAGTTGGTCAGAGTATCAGTTATATTAAATGATAGTTCTTAAACTGTGTGCTGAGAGGCAAAAACCTGTTCATAAAAATAAACCAGCTGCAAAATGGAGTAAGCTGTTTTTCAGCCACTCGAGCGAGTTAGTGCAGTGCTGCTGAGTTAAACACGGTGCCCTTGAAAGATTGCAGCGTGAGCYGTGGGAAGTGCTGCAAGAACTGGGTTTCTCTGGTGCCTCTTTTGGGGCCCTCTGAGAGCATTTGAGCTGAGCYGAAGCATGTGCAGGCCGCGCCGAGRGCTGTTCAGTCCTTGCTGAAGCCTCTCCTGGTGGTGGTTCTTCCTCATTGCTAATTAATAGCAAAAGGAGTGGAGGATGCTCAAAAACCCTTCTGAAAACTTGTCAGAGYTCATTTAACTTTTGCACTCTTCCTCTCTTGGTGTAAGAAGTTAATGAAGGATTTGGAGACTGCAGGGAAGGGGGGAAGTAAGCCACCTCAAGATTGCTGAAATTCCTGTTAATCTCCCATGAAGCTGGTTAACCTCCAGCAGGGCAGTCAGGAGCTACTCGTGTCTTCCCCCATCGAGCTGCTCCTCTCGCAGTGCTGAGCCACTCCATTAGCCACTGGAAAGTGCTGAAGCAGCAGTGCTCCGGTAAATGGAGAGGAGCTTTGACATTGCTGCGCGTGACTGTCCCTGCTCCCTTTGAAGGATGACTCGAGGGTGGGGATGAGGGGACCCGCCAAAGTACCAAACCCACTCAGCAGGAGGCATGCCTGGGGATCTCGGGGATCTGCCTGAGCTGCTGTACTACCAAGGAGAGGAGCCCCCTAACCTCTGTGGCTAGCAGGGCTGGAGAGTGGCTTCTTGCCCTGCCTGTCCCTTTCTGGAGCCCCTGGATGGTGCTGATTTCTATACATKGGGAAGTTTGCATTCATATTCTTCCAGATGCACTTGGGTTTGGGGAATAAACTGGGAGCTCAGAGTGCAACCTGAGCTCTGTGGGGTCCTCAGTGGGACAGCAAGGAGCYCTTACGTGAGGGAAGTGATAAGGTGCTGCTGTCGCAGCAGTGTGCCTGTGATAACGGGAGCAGGCAGATAGTCTTGGCGCCTCACTGCTCCCTTTATCTGCCATGCAGAGTTTCTGTGTCTCTCCTGCTGCTTCATGGCTCATCTGGCCCCTCAGCAGGGACCCTGAGGAGTGAGCTAGGGCAGGCTGAGCTGTCTTCCCTGGTTGGTGTCACTCCTTCCCCTCTCTGCTGTTGAAGGCCTGCAGAAGAGCTTGGTGTGCCTGGGGAGGAAGAGATGAGGGCTGTGCTGGGAAGCCTGTGCAGAGGGAGGTTGCAAAGTGGTCCCCAAGGCCAGGGAATGCTGCAGCATCACTGTGAGGTGCTGTGTATGATGATGGTCAGAGTTCAGAAAAGCCTACTACTGACCCCTCTGGGATCCACTGTGGCTGCTGGGATGCTGGGATGGGAGGAGCAGTTAGATACTGATGGCCTCTAGCCTGTCTCAGGATGATGGCAGGAGAGCTACAAGACTTATGAACAGCAAAGCCTACATGTATCTTCCAAACAGGGCGGGCAAGGAGCTCTGACCTTTATGGTGGAGTTTGTCTCTCCCTTTGAGTGGACAGCACYTCTGTRGGTGAATCCGGTTTCCTGGTGGGGATTTTCCCAGGCATATCCAGCATTTACACAAGCAGTGTAACTGTTCCAGCACCACCTGAAAGTGCACTGGAATTTCCCTGTCTGCCTAGGGTTTCTGAGATCCACTTCCTGGCCTCCATGAGTGGAAAATGACACATCTTGTGCAACTTYGGAGTTTGCCGTAGCATTTGACCCTTCCTCTGTAGCTTTGTGACCATTAGGACTTTTCACTAAAGCCAAGGCTAGTGGGAAGAAGAGAGAGCAGGGAGATGTGTGGTTTRGTGCTGTATGTCTCCAGCTTTGTGTGGTTCTCTTAGTATCTCGTGTTATTCATCTTCATCAGGGGATCTAAGGGAGTTTGCAGAGGCTGTAAGTAGCTTAAAGTTTATCTGGAAATCCCACTCATCACCCAAAGCCCTTGAGTGTTTGAAGCTCTAATAAATCCATATCTCCTTGTCTGCTGGCTAGCCCAGGGAAGCACCTAGCTCATTCTCCTGTGCAGTACCACTGGGAATGTCACTGGCTTTCCGTGCATCGATGAAGCAAGCGGTTTGTCCTGAATGCTGGTAGCACCAATAYCTGAAGGCCTTCTTTACCAAATGAGCTGCTGTGTTCTCAGCAGCACTTTTCTGGAGCAGGAGGGCCTAGCCTGGGGGAGATGTGAAGGATTTTGGTGCAGAGATGGCAACCAGGGTGCCGGGCTGRGTCCTTCTCCAGGCACAGTTAGAGAGCAGAAATGGCTGGAAGTGCTCTTCAGTCTGGCCCCAGGGTATGGGGTGGCAAATAGGGGCTGTTTGTTGGAGGATGAGCTGAAGGTGTGTGTGAACACCTGTGYTGGGCAGCCCCCATCTCTGCAAGCTGGGAAGAGGCCTGACTATGGTGACCCCTTGCTGCGCTCTGAYGGCTTTGAGTCTTGAGCCATTTCTCGCTGGTGCCTGGCAATCCTTGCTCCTCAGATAGTCCTGCCATTGTAGTCTCTAAATCAGAATGAGAAGGCTGAATTCTATCTTACCAGTCAGAAAGCTGCTCACAGCCATTACTGTCCTGCCACCAATTTGTCACCATTGTGTTCTGGCAGCCAGAAAGGGCCCACTGTGTCCTATGGTTTATCAGACACAGCATTGCCAGCCAGTCRAGGGAGGTGATCATCCTGCTCTGTGCTGCTATGGTCTCACCTCAAATCTGATGTGCAGACTTAGGTACCACAATACAAGAAGCATATAAAACTGTTAGAGAGGGTCCAGAGGAGKMRYATGAAAATAGGAAAGGGTCTAGAGGGAAAGCMATAAAAGGAGCAGCTGAGGTCATTTGGTTTGTTCAGCCTAGRGAAGAGAGTGAGGGTATAGCTCATCATGGGCTCCAGCTTCCGCAGGAGGGACAACAGAGGGACAGCACTGGTCTCTTTGACCAGTGACAGGATCCAAGGGAATATCATGGAGCTGTGCTAGGGGAGGTTTAGGTTGGATGTYAGGAAMAGGTTATTCACTGAGMGGGTGACTGGGCACTAGAAGGCTCTGCAGGGAAGTGGTYGCAGCACCAAATCTGACAGAGTTSAGAAAGTTTTTGAACAAGTCTCTCAGATGCACGATGTGATTCTTGGGGCTGTCCTGTCCAGGGCCAGTAGTTGGACTTGATGGTCTTTGTGGTTCCCTTCCAGCTTGGGATGTTGTATGAATCTATGAAGTTTTCAACATGCAGATATCATATGTTCTTCCCTCCCCTCTTCCAGCAGCTAGGCCAGGGGAAGGGCACCCCAAGGTCTGCACAAACTTGCCATTCTGAATCTATTTTTTGCCAGTGGAAATTTCCAAATATGACCGTCCTCAAACCATCTTTTTGTGGGTTTGGTGCTGGTTATTGTCCGACAGCCGAATCAGGCACCTGCATCATTGCCAGGCCTAGAGATCATTTGGAAAGTGCATACAGAAATGGTCCTGTTGACTCTCCATGCTGGTGATGT